AAGTTATTTATTTTGTTTCATATTAACTACATAACATATTTAAAGCATTTGTAGACATGATATATTTTCCTTAATTACTCATTTCTGTCCTGAATAAATGTAATAATGAAACCCTAACCCCGCTAACGAGACCATATGAAGAGAAAACGATTCGAAAGTCACATTTTTTCAAACGCTCGTCAGCATTTTGGGGGAGGTGGAGGGGAAATCTGAAGAAACGTAGGGCTTTGCCTCGTGAAGCCCGCGTGAGCGAAGCGTTTCGTTGAAAGGGGCTGGCGGATGCAAAACATCCCAAAATATGAGGCAAAACCTGCCTTCGTTTGCTGGTGCTTCTCATTAAGCATGCTGCGAGTAACGAGGGAAACTCACTTTCCCAGAGGCTTTGTTTCTGTGAAGCTAAATGGTGTTTTTATAGTGTTTAGTATTCTACTCTTCCAGCACTGTCCTGCTTTATGGAGCGGAGAACACACACACACACACACTTACTCGTGTGTTCATTAGAAGCAGTAGTCGTAATTGACGTTCTTTTGTGCTGGTGTGTCAGGCAGTTTTCAACTCCTCGGACCCTCCTCAAGGGATTAATCCAAAGAAATCCAATCAGACTATCTTCATTTACACCGACGGCCATTTTAGTTTTATTAGCCAGGTTTTTCTATTAGAGACTCACTGTAGAGAGCGCTCCCCACTAACCCCCCCCCCCCCCTCCCTCCTTTCCCTTCTCTTCCTGCTTAATGAAGCTGCTGCACCAGTTAAACTCGGGCTGGAACACTGGGGCCGTTTCAACAAATCTAAAACCTACGCTCAAAGCCCTCTGAGATTACACAAGCGGCGCGAGAAAGCCAGCGGTCCGGAGCCACGTCTTGGGTTTGTTTTCTCACAAATCTCGATGTAAGGGGAAGCTTACAACTTGTGGACAAAAATCTCTCACCCTTTTGTTTTTGTTATCTATGTTGCACCGAGTTGCGCACATGAAAGGTGATGGGAGGCAGTTTTGTGAAGACTGAGAAATGAGAGCTTCAGGGAGATGTTCAAATACTGTTTGACGATCTGGCAAGCGTTCATCTTTTTCTTGTTCTTTTTTCTGAGCATGCTACCGCCTTTTATGTTGACATGTAACATGTCAGACTGCGGAGCAGCTATTACTCGATATGGTTGAATTCCTGTTGCAAAACTCCCAAGTACACGGCTGCTAAAGTCGCCCCACAAAGCTTAGACGTTTGTGCAAAAACACACACCAGTAATTTCAGGCTTCTTGCTGCATTTTGCTCCGAGATGTTGCGTTCGCTGTTGATTTATTGCTGCGTATTAAAACCAAATAATCTCCTCCCCATCCCCTTGTCACTGTAAGCTCTTCTCAATCCCCTCCCCTCACTCTCGGCTCGCTTCGCCAGCAAGAACAAAGAAAGTTACGGGCGGACTCGGCAAGAAGGCAGCGGGCTTTCTAATAATAGCCCGAACGTCAATGTCGTCACCGACACGAGTAACTGGAGTTCACACGTCAGTCCTGAGGAATTATGCAAAACGTGTCTTTGATCGTTAAGGGGGTAAAGTGGGAAACTAACCTCGTTAGTACAAGAAAAACACTTCCTGCTCTTAGCTGAGCAGCTAAATGATGTAATTAGGAGAAAGTGTGGCCATTATTTCCCATAGAAACCACCAGAGATGATATATATAGCACTGAAAACTGACCGGCAAAGGTTTGTGGGACCTAAATGGACAGCAAAAGATCTTGTTAAAGTTCAAGTTTTCTTTTTTTTATAATTAGATTTAAAGTTTACATATAATGGTCATGGTGGGTCAAATTATGTAATTTTGTGTTTAAGGATTGATTTGAACCTTAAAAACCAGAATATAACTTTTTCTTTGGCGGAAAACCCTTTAAGGTTCGTCAACCATTAAACTCTCTGGCCACTTTGGTAGGTAAACCTGTACGGTTTAACAAAACATGAAAATAAGTCAATGACGTGTCAGCGACTGTATATTTCAGCATCCAGGCATGATGTAGTCCAAACCTGAGGGTTAAAATAGAGAAGAAAAAAAAAAAGATATTTTGAACGTGGCGTATTCGTTGGCAGATGGGCTGGTCTGAAGATTTCAGAAACTGTCGATGTGCTGTGATTTTCTCACACACCTATCTTTTTGGTTTACATTGAAAAAGAGTTGGTTAGTAGCACTTTGTGGACAAAAAGATGCTTCTTTTTAAGTCTGTGGATAATAAGGAGAGTGATTCAAGACGATAGGAAGGCAAGAGTAGCTTAATTAGCACTCATTTCAACCAGTCTGTAGAAGGAAGTCCCTGACCCAACAACGTATTGAACACTAAACTAAGGTTGTTCTGAAGATAAATGGGCCCCAACCGGGGAAGGTTTCACCTATCGAAGTGGATGTTGAGTTTATCTTTTCAAAACATTTTCAAAACATTATATTACGTGACAGACAAAAGTGGATTTTGGTCTAAGGTTATGAGGTTTTATGTCGCCTTCAATTGGGCCAAGAATTTGACGTCTTATCTCATTTCAACCCAAACTAGAGTTTCAGACAGATTTTTTTTTTTTTTTCTTGTACCTAAAACATACTTTAGTGGCTGATTATTAGGGTAAAAGATGAAGTTTGGATAAAGCGCTGTTGTCTCCATTGTTCTTCATAAAGTAGGTCGCTACAGTTTTATGTAACTGTCTTCAAGTGTAGCTTTGAGGAACTTGATGGTGTGAGAGCTCTTCATTCGCTCTGGTCAGCGAGTCTGGAGGGGTGTGTGTGTGTGTGTGTGTGTGCGTGTGTGTGTGTGTGTCGGTCAGTTGACCTCCTTCACCTTCCCTCTTAGTGTCGCTTCCTGTTTTCTCCTCTTTGGTTGGACGAAGCGCTCGGCTACTGGCCTCTAAGGAGGAAAACTGCCCCCTCCCTGCGCTGTCCCAATGCATCTCCATCACCACTTCCATCACTGTAACCAGCGAATTAGTCGACTGTTAACAACTTCTGCTAAGTTTTTGTCGTGTTCCTCATGCAGAAGCTGCGATACGACGTTTCAGTTTGATATTTGTTTAAAGAAAATATCGGCATCTCCTTTTGGCTCAATTGGACAGAAAGTTTAGACTGTAAAGCCTTTTTTTAAATATTCATTTTTCCGTTCACCCATCTGTCCATCCGTTTGGTAATTGGTCCAGGACGTCAGATTTTCTGTCTATGAGCCCGGCTTTCATCCGTTCTTCCATTTATGCACCATGTTAAAATTTACGGTGACATTTTGTTTTTATCTGGAATTTATAGTTTGGGAAAAATTGTGGAATTTGTGATGTGAAAATGTCAGAATTTTTTATTTTTTTTTTAATCTGGTTCGTGTCGCATTTTCTTCCCAACTTCTTACAGTAGGACACCGTCTAAATTTAATAAAGACGAATTTTCCTGCAAATTCCCAGTATTCCAAGTCATTTTCATTGAATCTTGAAACAAAAACTGAACTACTTCTTTTTTTTTTTTTTTTTTTCCTGGCTTTTAATAAAATAAAGTTTTGGTTTTCGCCGTCAGAAGGTCGCCTTGTGACCCGCCTGTCGTCCTGTGGGTTGATTTGATTAGCCTTCGGTTCGGATTGGGCCTCCTGCTGCCATCCATCTGCCGGGCCCTCATGGATCCTCTTTTCGCCGATCTGACCGCATTTGCATCGAGTTCTCACTTCCTTTTTTTCCCCCCATTTCCGCTCGCTTCCTATCAGACTGAAGATGCTAATCCCGTGTGACCTTTCCTATCCGGAGGTCGTCACCCAGACGATGGGCAGATTATGGAACATCTTCCGATTAGCTCCTAATTGACATTTCGTTTGAACTTTTTACAACTTTAAAATCAACTTTTCTGAATGGTACAATGTATTTTTTTAAATTTCTTTAAATGCTGCAGTTTCATTTCTAGGTATTGAAGGAACGTTTTTTTCTTTTCATCCTCCTGGAGAAAGTGCGGTCTTGCTGGGAGACCCTTTGCTCCTGGGGTCTGCTGCCAGACGAGGAGACAAATCGGCGGTTATTGCAGCTGCTGCTACTCCTGATTTTTAATGATGTCGCTCTTGAATATTAAAACCATTATGGAAGAGAGAGGGCGAGGAGAGAGGAGGAAAAAAAAAATTGCGATGTGATTTATTATTCTGCTCTGGGTGAGTCCCTGCTCTCCTCCGTCTCTCTCTTCATTACATTCGGTCCGTCCATTCCTCCGTCGTTCTTCCTCCCCCTCGTTTCTTCGTCTCTGTCGTCTTTCGTAATTGTTTTTCATTATCGTTTTTTTTTTTTTGTCTTTTTCTTGGATTGTTGTTGGCAAATGTTCCTTTTTATTATTTTTTTTCTCTCTGTCTCTCTCTCTCGGATTCGCCTATTTGTCACCCCAATGACAGAGGATGACTCAGGCTCCATGGGGTTTTTATTCTGTGTGTGTGTGCGTGTGTGTAGGAGGCGCTGTGCTAATAGTCCCTCTCTCCCTGACAGACTAATGAGTAGTTTGGGCTCCCGTCTATCTCGCGCTCTCCGTTTCCCTTCCTACCTCTGGCTCTTGGAAAATGATGAGCTCACTCGCACCCGCTTTCCAAAGACTGCACCTAATATGACGAATTCTTTCAAACTCGTGTCTCTTTTTTTTTTTTATTCTCTCCCTCTCTCTGTTGTCATGGCTGTCACTGCCTTTGTGAAGCTCATCCATCTCGGTCTTCTGTGTAGTGAAAGAAACAGCTGGTTAACGTGGTCATTTGAGTGAAATGACCACGCTCAGATGAGATGGAGAGGAGCAGAAGAGCTTTCTGCAAATGTTTAAATCACGTGGGATTGTTTAGAATGCTGGAAAATTAAGGAGGGTAAATAAAATTGTTAGTATAGCGCATTTGAAGGACTCTTCTACCTTTAATTTGACATAAATGCTGTACAACTATTGGAGCAGCTCAACACCAAGCCTAAAGGAAGAACAGAAAGTGAATATCGTAGCGGCTCTTCTCGTCGCTAACTGCTTTTATTTCCTGCGTTTCCCTGCAGAGGAGCTGGCGTACGAGGTGAGGTGGTTTTTCACCCGGCTGCGCGGCGAACAGAGCACGAGTCCGGTGGTCAGCGTGGACCGCTTTGGCGTCGTGACCAAGTCCAACCGCAACTCGTCCAGCGACGTCTCCATAGAGCGCAAGGACGCCAACACCTACGTGCTCTACATTTTCGGCACTCAGGACAGGTGAGAGTCGAACCTTTCCCCCCTCACGGCCACTTTTCATTTGGCTCCAATATCTCTGCCTCATCGTGGTTCTCATGCCTTGAGTCTCAGCTGTGGTATTTAACGGAGTTTGCTGTGCTTTCTAGTGACAGCGGTGAGTACCACTGCATGGTCACTCCGTGGTACAAGTCGACCTCATCAGGACTTTGGACTCAGGATAAAGACTATACCTCTGGCAAAGTCTTCCTCTCCGTCAAAATTGCAGGTGAAGAAATGTTAAAAAAAAATCACCAGACGTACCGAATAAACAGTGTAACATAAAAACTCCTCCAGAACCTGGATTATTTTTGTCTTAAGTGATGTTTCTCTCCCTTTTTCTGCAGTATGGGACTCCTTAAAGCTACCTCTGCTATATGGTGCATCAGCCTCTCTGGGTAATATTGCAACTAACTTTAGTTGTTTTTTTGTTGGGTTTTTTTGTCTTTCACATCAGTTCAATCCAAAAGTGCTCCAAACCTTCTGTAAATAATACAATTGAGATTTATGATATTTTAGTTTGTAAATAATATTTCCACCATTTCTAACTCAAACGCGTTAAAAGCGTTCCTACGTTTGGTTTTAAGAGTTGAGCAAACGAGCAAGAGAATTTTTAAAAAAAATGTCAAAACTTTAAAAATATATATATATATAGTTCAGTGTTATCTGGCCAGCGGCAGCCTGAGGAGAATGTAAACGCTGCCAACAGCAGCTGAAAAATGCAACATGGTCGCCACTGCTGCTCACGTCTTAAACCGACTCGCCTTCACTCTTACGTCACACTTTTGCATTTTTAAGCTGTGGTTTTAGCTCTCGTTTTCTTTCCAGGTGTGGGCGTCTTCTCTCTGCTCCTGGGTCTGATTTGCGCCCGGTGCTGCTGCCGCAACACGGCGCACACTCCCCGCTCGCGCACCAAGCTGATGGACCTCGAGATGGACTGACAAACAGTTTCCCCTGCGCCCGCACACTGCAGCGCCCACAAGAAGCACCACGCGCAAAATAGACAGACTCCCGTCGACGACTTCTGGGACACTCACCTGTTTGCCGCCGACGGGCGCTGGGAGTGAGTCGGCATCGCTTAGGGAGCCCGACCAACCGATTCACAGTGCTTATTTTTTTTAAATAAAATTAAATCTAATAAAGGTGCTTTTGGGAGGAGGAAACTTCTCAGCTCTGCAGTGGAGGCGCAGGGGATTTTCACGCTCGCTCGATGGAGAAATAGCCTTTCAGACTTCTGCTTCGTTTTTGAATACGTTTTGGTTTTCCAATAGGATTTCTATCTGTTTTGAGAAACTTTTGAGGAAGCCGGAGCTTCTGAGATGTCACTGCCCACTGGGACTATAGAGGACCTCTACACAGATCTGCTGCTTCTCTAACCACTAGGAATAACAAAAAAAAAAGAAGCGCTCAGGCTGGATTACTTTCTTTTTTACTGCTTTTTTTTTTTCCCAGATGCCAAGGCTCATTGTAAAGTACAACCCTTTTTTTATTACTATTTTTTTTAAATGGCGGATGAACCACGAAAAAGTCCGAAGATGGATTAATCGAACCTGGATTTGTCCAATTTTTTTCATTTTGAAGCCTGAGCCTTCCTTCTGCCATAGAGGAGTTTGTGGAGTAAACATGAAAATAAAAAAAAGTGCTTCATGTTTCCAAATGAGAGGCGTTGCACTACCATCCCAGAGTGATCCTATTTTAACAAAAAAAAGGAAAATAACTTTATTGTCAGGACTTTTTTTCTTTTTTTTTTCGTTTTCTTTTGAAAATTGAGAGATTTTAAAGTGACATTAAAGAGACATTTCTAAGCTTTACAAAAAGATATGCAGTCGGTGTGTTTGTGTGTGAGATATACTGTACACGGTGCCAATATTTGTGGAGTGTGCTTAGTTCAGATCACCGGACCGACACTTTAACAGTCGCTACCACCGGTGGCGGAGAGCACTCCTCTTTTATAAGTATTCAGAAATGTATCCAGATGTTATTTTTTGCCTGAGTCTTGTGTGTGTTTTGTACAGTGTGTGAGTGCTGTGCGACAAAGGGTTGCATGTACTGTTTAGTAACAGTATGATGTTTGTCATAAGCGACATAAATCTTTCTCCTTCCCCACTAAAAGCCTGCTGCTTTCAAATTTTAAAAACTGGCTGCTGAAATTGCTAGCCAGCGTGAGCACATGATGCTAATTCAGGATGATACAAGAAACTCAATTGCTTTTTTTAAATTATTATTTGCATTAATCATAGTTCATAATTTTGCATGTCCATGAGTCTCATATGTTTTAATTTTTTTAAATAGTTTTTTTAAATGTGCTTAGCCTGGATTTGTTTAGCATAAAGACGAAAAGCAGGGAGACGGCTAAATTTGCTTGCTAACATAAATGATATGGACAACTTATTTTTGTTAAGTGACTATTAAACAGCTTTTGACCACTATCTCAACCCCAATTTTTATAATTTTCGTAACATATATGAGACTGTGAAAGTTTTGCTTTCCAAAACTATAACTTTTTACCTCAGCTAGTAGTTAGCCTAATGAATTATGCTAGGCTATATCCCACTTTAAGCTAGGTTCTATCCCACTTCAAGATGGATTTTATGCAACTTTTAAGATGGACTATGGTTCACCTCAAGCTAGGCTTTATCCCCGTTTAAGCTAGGCTTCATCTGACTTCAAGCTGTTGCCTGTGGGTCTGTCAAAATTCAGGGGCTACATTTGAAGGTTGATTATGTCACAGCAATATCCAAATTCAAAGGCCTCTCCAAATGGGCCCCACAAAAAAGTATTTTTTTTTTCTGCAGATTTGAAGGACAGACGTGGCGTATCCCATGCTGTATATCAGGTTGGGTTGTTTCCCACTTCAAGCTACGCTATGACCTGCTTCAAGCTAGGCTATGTTCCACATAAGGCTACACTATATCCTGCTTTAATCTGTCCAAAAACACGTACATATATTCAGCTTTGTTAAATTCTTTACTGATGGTTGCTAGTTGAAATGCTAACCAGAAAATGTTTGAAAAATGTAACCTCTAACATTTCCTTAAATTATTTAGTATGTTTAGCTTTGAACTCTTGGTTTGCTCTATACCAAGCTAGCCGTATTTTTATTTATGTTGCAGATTTTCTTTCAGCCAAAATTTTAAAAGAAGAATCAAAATTTGGCATAATTTCAAATTATTATTTATGTAATATAAAACCTAAGAAATGTCTGCATTAAATTGATCATTTTTGACCTGGACTTAGTGTAAATTTGTACTTAATATCCATAAACCAACAATAATTTGTAAGGAAAGCAAATTACAGTCAATTTTAGCTAAATGTAATAGCTTAAGATTAATTAGGATGTTTTTACTTGGGGAAAACAGCCAAATATAACATATTGCTGTTAATTTTACAAGTCTGTCAAGATACAAATTGGCACTGGAAGTAAAACGTATAAAGAAATTGATTTAATGGCAGAATTGGGCAACAAATTTCAACTTTTAATATAGTAATAGAGAAGTCAGCTTAATTTCGGAAAAAAGCCACACCCAAAATGTCTTAGTAATATTTAGCAAATTTGTGAATGGATTTTTTTTTTTTTTGTACTTTCCAAATTTATATAAAATTATTAAACGTATAGAATAAATGTATTACCTTGAACTGTTCAGTACAAATTTTACTTTATTAACTGCAAGGTTTCTGTGAGGTGTGGAAGCATTTCTACTTTCTGTTTTCTCAAGAAAATTGGAAGCGTAAACTTTAAAGGCTAGTTGAGTTAGCGTGGAGTGGTTCCTTATCTCTGAATGTTTCTTTTTGTGCTTAATTTTGAGAGAGAAGAGCAAATGAGGGGGAAAAAATGTTTTTGCAAGTTGGTTGAATCAGTTTATACAACAAAACCTGATGAGTCTGTTTTCTGTTTTATTTTTTTCATTAGCAGTTAAATGAACTTGTGGTGATTGGCACATCATGTTGAGTGGTGTGTGTGTGAACACACTCTCACAGCTCCACCAACAACATAAAGTGACAGCGTTTCAGTCCAGACCCACAAGGAGGCAACCAGCCTCTTCCTGAACTAAGAGGAAACTGTTGGTGTATAAAGAGATGTTTTTAAAGTGAATTTTAATCAAATATTTAAGAGCAATAATCAGGTTACAGCTCAGAGAACGATGCACTCTCAGTCAGAGCTCCAACACTCCAAGATGAGGAGATGATTAATTTATTTATCTGTTGTTCGTTAGATTAAAAACAATTATTTTATTTTTTTGTTCTTCTGAGACGGCAAGTCCAGAAGTATTATTCCAACCACAACTCTGTAAGAATATTCTGCCAAACATTGTGACATTTGTAAGGCCGAATTTGACCCGGATCCAAAACCCAGAAGCAGAACGTTGATTTTGGAAAACCAAACGAAGCCTGGATAATCGGTTCCCGACACGTCCTCCGCTTGGGAATGAAAGTTGGGACACAGTTTTGGCCTGATTGATGGTGACCTTTCTTTCCAGGAAAGTGTGTGTGCTTCTTTCTGCTGTCTGGGGTTTTCAGGATCAGCTTTCCCATCCTCTTCAAGTGACTGGATGATAATAATAATAATGCTTCGTTCCAAATGTTCCCAACTTTACACCACGGGAAGTAGCATTGATGCACACCGCTGAACTTGTCCCAGGAAGGCTTTCAAATTGCTTTTTTTTTTTTTTTTGGTTTGTTTTTATAGCAGTTAATATGACAAATCATGATGATTTTTTTTTTAATAAATAGATTTGTGATATGTACTCTTCCTGATGCTTTTTCTTGTCTCCGCTTTTTAAAATGTACGGTTAACATCAGACGGCATACAAAAAAACAAAAAAACAGCTTTTTCCTCTTGGTGGCATTAAATCAGACTAAACTCCCTGATTCAGGTCAGTTTTACTAAAATTTTGCAGGACTCCATGTCTTCTATCTTGCCACCTGTTATCATGATCCCTAAATTGTGTTTTAAAAAATTTGAAGAAGCATAAACATTGCTGATTTAATGCGTAGATTGAACATTATGGATATTTTGGCAGCATTCCTTATCTGTTTTGTTTGTCATCAGTTTTGGATTCATCAGCGTCTCGTCTTCAACATCACAAGGACTTGTCGTTTTAGCAGATCTGTGCAGTTCGTATCCACGGCAGCTGCTCCGACACTGTCGGCAGACTGCGCTGGGTTCGTTTAAAAAAAAAAAAAAAGAGGGCAAATGTTTACACATTCCTTGGCTGTGCTGGCACCGGATGAAAGTTTACTTAGAAGTTGTTTCTGGGTTTCCATGGGAGTCGTTTTCGAGCTGATAGAGTAACTGGGTTTGCTTTGGTTGTTTTGCAGAGATTCACTTCTGTTTGCCTCTTCATTTCTAATCCAGTATGTTCTTTTCTCTCTATGTAAATGTTCACATTAGTGCTGTTGCTTAAATGTTGGGCTTTCTTTGGAGAAACCAGACACTTCTTCATGACTCGGATGAAAGGTTGAATCTGAAAATGTGATGTAATCGGCACCACCAGGGCCGGCATAAGCCTTTTAGTGGCCCTAATCAAATTTTCATTTGGGGGCGGGGGGGCTATTCTGACAGATCAACACCAGACGCTTCTTCATTCCTATATTACTCTCAAGTGTGCAACATAAAATAATATAGAAATTGTTTTTCCATATGCAGTGCCATTTAGTTTGTTGGATATTTTTAAATAAATAATATATTTGTAGTAAATATTTATTTACATATATATGGAGAGATTTGTTTTTTTCAGAATTTTTGCCTTTTTTTCTTGCTCTTGGGGACCCCCTGGTGGTATGGAGGCCCTAAGCAGCTGCTTAACATGCATATATTTGGGTCTGCTATTGGTGTTACTAAAAAGAAAAAAAAAACATGTAGAATACACACTTGCTCTATGCTCTTTGGGTTCTGAGCATCTGCTGGAAGAACCAGTTTTACTCTAATTTTCAGAGCAGAATGGACCAGAACCAGCATGTGCAATGTTTGCTACCTGTTCTTTCAGAGCGAGCGCCCTGAGTGATTGGACTACGCCACTGTTTTGAACACGCACGCCTCTTTTTTTATCAGTTCATCTCTGCAGCTTCATTTCCCCCCCCTCTTGATTTAAATGCAGATGAGCTTCCTGAGTTTTAATTTTTGCACCTCTTTAACAGTCTCTCCATCCACCACCCCCTCCCCCCCCACTTCTCCCTCCTCTCATCTTCAGCTCATGTTGAGCTAACGGGGATGAAAGATCCACTTTTGATTGGCTGCTGGCTTTTTCTAACATGCACTTGTTCTCTCTCAGGGTCCATTTGACCCATTTTCCTGTCCCTGCATGTGCGTGTTCATGGGCCATTTGTTAATGCGGCCTTGTCACAACTGAACGCGTTATCTGCTTTAATTGAATCCGAGACGAACGTGATTAGAATAAGCAACCGTCACGGAAGAGAGATCTCCCGTTTTTCGCCGCCGATTTGGAGGTGTATCGCACCCACTCACCCCCACCCCCCTACCCCACCTTCCCTCACTTCTGCTTCATTTGGAGGGATGATCCACATCCAAAACAGGAAGAAAAATCAGAAGGAAAAAACTGAAAAATTTAGCAGCACGTGGAAGCGAGTAAGCAGCCCGTTGTCCCCAGAGCCCACCACAGGCGACGCATCTTCTGGTTTTCATTGTAATCGGCGCTGATGTCAACAGCATCTCAGGCTCCACACACACACGCACACACACACACACCGCTGCGTGTAAAACCTCTAAACACGCTGTTACCATCTCAGATGGGGGAAATTAATAACTAACTGGAGTTGGGGGTGTTTGTGCCAATCGTCTGGAAAATTCAGGTCTTACACGTCGAAACTGAAACGCTCAATTTCTTCACCTTTCCATCGTCTGAAACCGTCGGAGTGAGTTCAGCTGAAACATGTTTTTGTTGGTTTTATTTCTGTTTTTTTTTTTTTTTTTTTTTTTTTGTGGAACGCTTTTAAGCTACTGCTCATAATTTATGGATTATTTACAATTTTGATGCTTTTTTTTTGGTCCATAGAAAACCTGTGTCTACTTATTCTTTGACGGTTTTGGTGCTGCTGTTAACGTTGAGCTTTTAAAAACATCTCTTTACAAAAAGTGAACTGTTGATGGACTTGTTGCCACCAGCAACAATGTGTCCTTTTTGTCTTTTGATAGAAACGATTCCTGGCTCAACAGTTGTCTTTTTTTTTTTTTCCCCCTATTTCTACCATCAACTTTGTAGAAAGTATAGGAAGTACACCTGGCCCAACTTTCTGTAATTGGCTCTAATTATTTTTCTATATATCCCCATAATATGGAAAACAATGTGATTTAATACACGTAAAGGACGAACAGAATCTCGTTTTACTTGTTAGACTCAAGAGCTGAACAAAAATGAGTTTCAAACTGAGGTTAGGACATCCACCTGAGTATTTCTAGACCCTTCTTCTATTAAATCTGGGTCACTATGTTTGAAAAAGAAACTTTATCTGCACGAAGCGATGTTTGAGTGCGTGAAAAATTGCTGTGTCTGCAGTCTGGCTTTTATCAACCAATTCCCAGAGCAGCTAATCGGCAACAATCACATCTCAGCGTGCTCCACAAAGATCTCGTATCGGGGTCTGCAGGTCAAAGGTCGCTGCGTGAACACTCATTAGCAACTTCAGCAGGAAATGAAAGCCAGATAACAAACTCTAATACACTTTCTGACCTTCTTGAGTTTCAAGCTAATGCAGAAATTGTGTTTTAGGAGAAACCAGAATGGAAAGTAACGATCTTCAAGCCAAATACACACATTAAAAGTTATTATAAGACAATGTGAAGAATTATGTGAAGATTGAATTAAGTTTTTCTGCTCCATTCTGGACAAGAGGTAACATTAGTTTTAGAGATTTTATCTAGTTCTATAGATGCAGATCTGGAAGACTACATCAGATACAAATTCTGTATCTTCTGAAGCTCGATGTTTGCTCTTTATTTTGAGGTACCGGAGTATTCGGTGGTGAATGCGATTTATTATTTCGAAAGAAGCTAAAACCGAAAAACATTAAAAATTTTGCTTCCACGTTACAACTTTTCACTATTTTTTCTTCAGGTAGCACCACTAACCTTTAACTTTGTGGCTGTGGAGATAAACTTGAGTGAGACACTGCGTTTGTAAAAAAAAAACAAAAACAAAAAGGAAGTTACTCGACTAAAATCCATTTTTAGTGTTATAGGAATGCTAGTAAGAGTAAGACCATTTTAAGTAACGTAACATGAGTAAAAGTAAAGACATTTTGAGATTAATCTTATAATTTTTTCTAAAAAGAACCGAGCTCCAAAAACACCAAACATTTTTTTAAGCTTTGAGATCACAAAATTTCTATCTGGCTTTTCAAACTGAAATGTCCACGTTTTTTTTGTTTGTTTTTTTTCTAGAACATTTCTGAGATCAATCTCAAAAGTCTTTCCCTGGAAATTTCCGACCTTTCAAGCTCAGAAAAATCCATGTTTTCTCTCTCTCTCTTGAAAATTCCTGAGATAAATCTAGTAATTTCTTCGTTTTTCAGTGGAAATTTACTTCTCCCTTGTTTTTCTATATCTACAATGGTCCTAATGGCCTTTTAAGTCTCCTGCCTGGATGTTCTGCTTAAACTCAAGCGGCGAAATTGCCTGCGTGTCAGACGTGACGCGTGTGAATTATTGAGCGCAATAAACAATCCCTCCTCTTGGGGTTGCACGCGCAGGGCCTCTGCAGTCGATGTTTGTGAATTAACCCCGAGTCTAAAGTGTGGTGGAGGAACCGGAAGGAAAGAGGGAGCCCTCCAGGGAGTAGAAAATGTCTCCTTTTTTTAATTGTGGAAGCGGCGGCAGGCTCTTATTGGACAGGGAGAGCTGAGAGAGTGTTAGCTGACCCCTCAGAGGAAACGTTAATGCGTGTGTGTGCGCGCGCAGGAATGCAGCGGCAACCGCTCTTATCTCCATTGCCCTCACCATGGAAACTCTGTCAACACACAACTTCATTGAGCCGTGGGGAGACAAATCCTATATGAACCAGTAGGTGTGTGTGTGTGTGTGTGTGAGAGAGAGAGAAAGAGAGATGTATTATTAGTTGGGAGATATTTGACCTCACCTCTCCACAGATCTCTCTCTGGTGCTTTTCACCGACTGGCCGACTCAGATATGAACTTCAGCGCAGTTTAAATCACTTCTAGTCACTTTTATGCTCTGTAGACTCTTGCTCAGTCGATTCATTAAACATTAAAATGCACATTAAGGATCTGACACACTCTCACAGACAGAAGAATAAGTAGACACAAAAAGGAAAAAAAAGAAAAACTGGCCAAGATTTCCCGCTTATACAATACAGGGCTGTGAAAAATGTTTCTTTTGTGTCTGCTGTTATATATATATATATATATATATATATATATATATATATATATATATATATATATATATATATATATATATATATATATATATATATATATATATTTATTTATATATAAATAACCAGAGAATCAAAAATGCAGTTTTTGTTCAGTGATTTTATTTATTAACTTTTATTAAGAACAAGATATCTAAACAGACTATGCTAAAAAGTAGTTATCCTTCATAGCTAAATAATCGCCTCTTAACTGATTAACCTTCTTTTTAAAAAAAAAATCTACGATAGATTTCTCTAGACACGTAAAGATCTGATTACAACCAGACCTATGCTTAACTAGAACCTGCCTGACAACATGAAGTAGGTTAAAAGGTTTGAAAAGGCAACACTTCTTACCCTGATCTACATTCAAGAACTACCGAGAAGCATACTGAGAAATATCTATCATTCTGGGAAGAGTCATAAAGCCATTTATAAGCCTTTAGGAATCTAGAGAAGCACACTTAGAATCATTATTCACTAATGGAGAAAACTTAGTACAATAGTGAACCCTCCCATAATTAAAAAGTGGCTGGCCGAGAAAAACTACTCCAGGAGGTCACAGAAGAACCAAAAACTTTGCACACCTCACTTTGTCTTCATGAACATTAGAATTAATGATCTAACAATAAGAAAAAGAGACAAAAATGGCCTCCAAATGCCCACCTTATATTTAACCAAAACCATCTTGATGATCCCCAAGATATTTTGTGGACTGATGAGAAAGAATTGGATCTTTTTGGACGGTTTGTCTTGTTACATCTGAAGGTGGCATTTCAGAAAATGAACATCATATCTAGAGTCAAACAAGTCGGCGGCAGCATCATTATTTTGGGGCCCAATGACGACCCATATAACCTCCAAGTCTGTTCCCTATCAAAACATCCTTAAAGGAGAAAGTGGGACTGAGTTATTGATGACTAGCTAGAAATCCTCCAGAGCAGACACACCAGTCCTCCAACACGGCATCTCCTTGTACGGCTGTGCCTCTGCAACATGCCACTGCGCCGTCTCTCTGCCAGCCACTACATCCTCTCATGTATACACAAATAAGCGGTGTCATCACTCTCCGCTTTGTCACTCTCCTCCTCTGTCTGTGGCGCGCGGCCAAGGAGATGCTTACTGAAAGATGAGCTTGCACCAACTGCAAATGCCGCCTCGCATCACAGGCCGGTTGGTAAACTAAAACTTAGGGATAGCCGATAGGTGTAAACACAACGTAGGAAGTAATGGCTGATTTGGAATCTGTGGTCAGGAAAGGGCTGCTGATTTAAGAGAACTCGGATCTAAACGGACCAAAAATTTCCTCTATGTGCTCTGAAGGATTTGTGAATCATTTTTTGACTCTGCAACAAGCAGACAAAATGTAACCACTTCCAGCTTTAACGTTGCCTGTCTTTGGTTTTCTTGTTTCATCTTAAGTTTTACAAAGAATTTCTGTCAGTTCGTAGTTCCGCATTTGCAGATTTTTCTGTAGAACTTGACCCAAAGGGAGTAGAGCAAATCTAAAACGCTTGAGAGAAAATGCAGCTTGGGAAGGTAAATTACCTGGACGAAATGCTACTTGACGTGTTATTGGCTGGTGTTTCAAAAGCAACCAATCCATAAGATCCATTTGCTTTGCTTTGTCCCTGATTGGCTGATCTGCCCTGGACTGCGATAAGAAAGTCTGTAAATGTTAGCTAGCTTCTGCGGTTGTGCTAAGACAGTTCCCACTGTGTGTATCATTGAATATTAATTTATATCTGATGTTTGAACTATTAAAATAGGCAGTTGTAAGAGTTTCTTGAGCCAATCTTAAGTACTCAGATTTCAGTGAAACTGGCAATCGACTCCCTTTAAAAACAGCTCAGGATAGTGAGAAACTTTAGACATGCACTCTGTTCGCTGTGTATAATGTGTATTGACAAGCCAGCTTGTAACTCCATGGCTGCAGGGATCAGAGTTAATTCTCTGTGAGGGAGAATATGAGTTAAGTCAGAGTGACTCCGGCATCAGCACGCTGATATTAACGTCTCAACGCTCTACAGCTGCACTAAATGACGTACTTAAAACTAACGAGGCTGTGCCATTTATTTATTTATTTATTTTTTTGGTTGTAATGTGGGGTTAACTCGAGGTGAAACGTGACGTTTAACCCCGTGTTTCTGACTCGGCCATGTTTGGACAGAGAGATGTGGGTTGGCTTCCCCTCTCTGAGTGTGATGCAGAGTCTGTACGGTCGAAGCTCCATCAATCTCTGCATTTCATGGTAATCTAAACCCTGGAAGTGGAGCGGGGCGGGGGCGGCAGAGAACATGTCACACTTCAAACACCGTTACCAGCCCGTAGAGACTGCACCTCATTACACACACAGCTCACACTGTAAATTACACAATGTAAACAGAAATTGCCAGCGCTCGAATTTCACTGGGTCAAAGTTCTCCGCGTCTTATTTTAGCAATTTTTGAAACCTTTTTGTGAATTTTATGATTTTGCTGGCCGTCTCTCTGTAACCACAGCGTATATTACCAATTCATTAGTGTTATTAACTACCTGAAACACCTTCTAAAAATGCCTGTTTTTAAAAGTGCAAACATGAATTATACATTGCGTATGCATTAATACGCAAAATGAAAGCCATCTTAGCTCTTCTGCAGAAGCTAATATCTACAGTCTCCTTTATCTCTGCTCTTGGGGCTCCAGCCAATAGTGCCAAGGAAAATAAATGGTGCTCCAGGTTTGGCAGCTTTGCAAACACCAGCAAATTAGGACTTGGTAATAGATATTTCAACTTCCGAAGCTGTAGTTTCTTTCAAATATTTTACATAATCTCTACCAAAAATAAATCAGTGAAAAGGCAAATTTTCTGTGGGTCATGTTCCATAAAACAATCTGCGAATAGGTGAGTCCAGAAATATGGACCCACAGATTTGTGTAAACAGAAAGAGATTACTTTATTGGTAAAGTGACGTAACAACCAAATGCTCTGGTTGGAAAAAGACACAGCACAGTTTATGCTGCAGCAGTTTATAATTCGCAGACCATCCAAACAACTTCTGGCATTGTTTGTGAGCATAAAATTGATCAGGGAAAAGATCTTATACAGCTGGGGTCTGGGGTTGTGCACATCAGAGTAATACTGCTAGTCAGAACTGGAGTTGAAATTGCAATGTCAACCTCAATGATGGCAGAATTTATGTTTTTTTTTTGTTTTTTTTTCTCCCAAATACAGCTTTTTATCCTAACCATTATTTCCCTTCTACTGTAAATTTACGGGCAAAATCGGCTCATCAAGAAACGCTTTTATAATCTCTCTGCACAGGCGGCCGGTTTATTAGATCTCCAATCTTCTGCTCTCAGACACCGTTTCTCCTGCTTCCCATTGATGAAGTCATCATATGAATCTTTATTTTATGAACTGAAATTCAAGCTGGAGACTTTATTATTACTTTTCCATGTCTGCAGTTAATGTGCTGGCAGCTCTATTACCTCTGACTAGTCTCGTGTTTGTAGCAATTTTCATGATGTGAATTATTTATTCACTGACCCGCCTCAAACCCTTTATATACGACAAAAGCACATTTCGTCCAGGTATTTCTGAATTCTGATGTAACTTTGACTTTCAGCGTGTGAATTTCAAGAGGAATTGAAAATCTTTGCAACTGTATAAATGACTCTCTTAATACATATGTTTTCTTTAAGTAGGCTTACTTAAAATGGATCTTGTGAAGGTTTTCAGGCGTAACAGTGTGTTGTAATGAAAATTTATCTCTGAATTAATGAGTGCTTAGCAGTAAAAAGAAAAAAAAATACTTAGACATTTAAGCACATTATTTACACACACACACTTCCCTCATTCCTTAATCCGCTCCAGTGTGCACAACACAGATCATTGTGCATGAATTATATGATGCTATATAGAGAGTCTGAACCCATAATTATCATCCTGGCCGATAATTATTCTGCTTGTTGCGATGCTGCGCGGATGCTCACTTGCAGCCTGAGGCCGGCACGCATTAACCTCTTTTCCACTCGTCTTATTTCATCACACAGTGAGGAGCGCCGGGTCTCAGGGTGAACGGTGGCCATTGGGGTGTCAGTCTTCAGCAAAGTCAAACTTCATGTTTGAGAGGATTTGCATGAACAGCTCTCAGATTTCAAACGCACCGCGAAATATCTGTGTTTAATGTCTTTAATTCGAGGACCAATCTGTCAATGAAATAGTTTGACGTTATTATTTACAGCTGTTTTCATCATTAGCCATAAGAGCTAACTGATGTGGTTAGATTTAGGAACCACCACTGCATCTTGTACGTGGACGTAAGCAACAATCCTAAGCAAAAGGCTTTCAACATGCCACCTGTGCGCCAGGAAAAGAGAAGCACAAAAGTCCAAATGTGACTTGAAATATTGTAAATAGTAAAAGGCAACAGTAATGTGCAACTAACCAACATGTTTATGGAAATTAGGCAGCAAAACATCAAGACGGTCCAATTCTGGAAATACTCTTCAAAGTAGCATAGAATAGAAGTATTTCCAGAAAAATGCTCTGTAATTTTACCAAAGAGAACCAAAGCTTTCCCAGAATATACCTTGTAGGTTAAAGAAAATTCAACTATAACTTCCAGTATACCAAAAGTTAGCGTGTAAGATTCCCTGTAAGTTTTTGGGAACATAATCTGTAAACTTACAGGAAGTAACCTGTGATTTATTTATTTCTTTTCCAAAAGGAAGTTCAGTAAGACCGACCTTAATGTTCTGAGAAAATGTCTGAGTTTTAGGATACAACTTGTAATTTCACAAAAAAAAAACCCCACACAAATAAAAGCTTCAAATCCAGAGAAAGTAATCTTATAAGAATTGAGTACCTGGTTACAAATCGCAGCATAAATACAGGACAGATCCCAAATGCACTGTGGCATTTCTGCAAAGTAAATCACAAGTTTCCAGAAGGTATCCTGTAGCTTATCAAGACGTAAACATGTGTGATCTGAGAAAGTAAACTTTAAGTCCCAGAAAATACATGCTTCGCCCAGTTCACCAAACAATTTTTAACGAAGAACAAATTCCTCCAAATTTATAATCTGTTTCTCTCCAGTTTACTTGAAATAAATGTAAGGCGGTCAATATTTTTGGCTCTTACATGCCAGCAAAACAGCAGAGCCAATGAGAGAGGACACAAAAATTTATGGATTCCCAGAACCCAATTTATTTTAAGGTGGCCTTGAACTGTGTTTCTGAGTGGAAAATATCTGAGAACTACTTGCAACGGAAAATCGATGATGATATTTTGGAAGCGACTCTCACGCTCCGTCTTCCTACAAAGCGGTTGGTTGAGGTCAATACTGTTAGATCAAGAAAAAGAAAAAAAAAAACTCAAGGTATCAATTTAAAACCCTGAAGATGATTATTGAGGATTCTCAAATTCTCCTCAAACAAAGCAAAAAGCGAGGTGGGCTCTAAACCGGAGGTGTTTTCCATTTAATCAGTTTAGCAGTTCACTGATGTTGTGTTTTAGTCACACAGCTTCTTAAGAAAGCAAGTATTCCAGCAGAAATTTGTTCAGATGCATAATACAACAAATCCTGCATTGTTAAAAGGGGGGAAATAATAAACCTTTTTGCATAAATGTTCAAACTTTCAAACCAAAATTTTGTCAAACAACCTTTTGATTCCATTTGAGCTTTGAGTTTGCACCTCTCTTCAGCTGTAGTGCATCTGATGAGAATGGGGGGAAAATCATCTGTCCAAGTTTGAGTTATTTCATTTTCAAATATGTAGAAAATGCTGGTTGTGTTCTACAGGTTATGTCAATCTCCTGTTTTCTCCAAACCAAGACAGAATCTCTTCCTTTGAATGTAAAAAAAAAATGGTCTGAATAAAATCTCTTAAAATGAAAATGTGACTTTGGGACCACAATTCCAAGTAATGTTTGAAAAAAAAAAAATACACAGTGTGTTACCTAAAGAAGTGGAGTTTTTGTCATCTGATAACTGTCAGTTTTGACCCCAAAGCTTTGGTTATCTTATATATACGAGTATACATATGAGTTTTTATATAAAAAAGGTTTTTCAGCTCTTTTACTTTTCATTCTGTCCTTATGCAGAAACAATTTCACTGGCATGTATTATGCCTCCCTCTTTTTTATACTAATGTGGAGTTTGTTTTATGTTCCGTTTTCTGCTAAATGATCCACTGCAGCATCTGAACTCTGTCTCTCTCGCTGATAGATTCCACGGTTCGGGTCTCCCACATATCCGAGTAAAAGTCAAACTGAGCCTGGGGGCGCCGGAGACTCCGAGCTCCTTTCAAATTCAAACCGTGCCTCATCTTTCCTGTGCCACCTGAACGGCTCCCTGTTCTCCTGGGACGTCTCCTCCTCCGTCGCGGCGTCGCGTGTCCTCTAGCTATGTTCGAAA